CCCCCCCCCCCCCCAGGGGCAGTGGGGGGAGAGCCAGTCCTGTGTGCCCAAGGAATGAGGCAATGCCTTTCCCACAGCCTACAAAGACCTGCAATCTCGGGAAGAAACTAGAAATGCTGCTTGGAGGAAGAGGGGTTGGGACGAAAATGTCTACTACACAGGTGAGTCCCTTCTCCGGGGGTCGGGGCGGGGTGGCGGGGGGGGGAGAAGGCAGTAGGACCCTTGGAGGTCATCTGCTAGGAGCCCTATTTGAGGATGGAATCTAGTCTCCCATGACTACCTCCAGCGATGGGGAGCTTGCTTTGAAGACAGTGAGTTATTGGGGTTCCATCCTGGTGGCTCACTGCACGTGGTCCAGGCAGGCCTACATGAGTGCTCTAGGGGATGCCATAGCAACCAGGAGGTCCCTGCCTCCGAGGGGTGGAGTTCAGTGTGCCCTGTGACCTCGGGCGCGGTTCTCCACCTCACTGAGGCTGTTTCCTCATCTGTACAATGGCGATGGTGACGGTGCCTGCCTCGGATGCTCGAGGGAGGGTTCCAGGAGCCAATTTATAAAGCGGGCTACACCCAGGTCCTGGCACAGAGGAAACACGCAGCAAATGTTTCCCAGCAAGTTCTCTGTCCCTTCGCTGGGCCTCCTAGGACCACCTGGATCAGTAGGTGTTGACTGACGGAGCCCTTTTGTCCTACCAGTCTACTACTACTACAGTTACTTTCTTGGTATTTTTCTATAAATCCCCCTACTTTGTTCTTTACCTAGCATTGTCCTAAGCAATCGTATCTGTGAAATCACTTTTTACTAGGCTAGTGTTTTTTTTTTAAAAATATATTTTTATTTCAGAGAGGAAGGGAGAGGGAGACAGATAGAAACATCAATGATGAGGGAGAATCATTGATAGGCTGCCACCTGCATGCCCCCTACTAGGGATCGATTCCATAACCTGGGCATGTGCCCCTGACTGGAATTGAACCTGGGACCCTTCCGTCTGCAGGCCCATGCTCTATCCACTGAGCCAAACCGGATAGGGCTAGGCTAGTTTTTTTGGTTTGTTTTCACAAACCCAGGAAAATAAATGTATAATTATGAAAAGCATTTACATGTTGCATTTCATCACCACCTAAGTCCTCCCTTCTCTCACCATTTGGAAGACCCGGTGCTCTCCCTGGGCCATTCCAGGACGGCGGTGGTGCATTTCCTGTCTCAGCATCCCAGGCACGCTCCCCCTCAGAAGCCAGTTTCCTGGGTGAGCTGGCCACATTCGCCTCTATGACCTCTGCCTCTCCCCGCAGTGCCCCTGGTGCGACACATGGAGTCTCGGATCATGATCCCTTTGAAGATCTCGCCTCTCCAGTGATGCTGCTGCCTCCGCCGCCGCCTCACTGCCCTTCTCCCTCGGGGCAGCCACGGACAGAGGGGCTCCCAGTCCAGCTGTCTTGGTTTTCTCTCTGATCTGGAAGGACTCTGGGGGCTAGTGCTCAGCTCAGACAACGGGGAGCTGAGGATGACAGAGTTCTGAGGACTTTGCAGCTCTGCCTGCCCTGCCCATCCCTGCCCCTGTGCTGGAAGCAGTTTTTAATTTCTTTGAATGAAGAATAGCAACCTTTTATGTCTTCTCACATTCCTCCCCCCCACCCCAAAATTCCTCATCTCGGCCCCACCAGTCCCCAAGTATCACCAAGGAAAACAACAGTCTAGCTTTAGTTGTACAAAAGGTAGTGTGTCCAGTGGTTAGAGGTGGGAAGAGGTGAAAGCAGACCAGGCTCTCGGGGAAATTCCCTGGTCTCCACTGGCCATCCACTTGCTGGACAGTCCAGCCCACGTCCCTCCTGCTGGGGAAAAGCCTAGAACTGCCTAGAATTGCAAAAGTAAAGGGAAATCCTCAAGTTAGCAAAGTCAGCCGGAGGTCCACCTCATGAACCCAGAAAGGCTGGGGAAGTGGAGCTGGGAAGGATCTGGGGGCAGGAAACAGAATGGAACAGAACGAGAACCGGGAACCCAGAAGGTAGAACGTAGAATTCACAACCTGGGTTTGAACTGCAGAACTTGGAATACAGAATGGGGGACATAGCACCGAGGTGACGAGACCACCTGGGAGGGTTTCCTAATACAAGGCAGCTGGAAAGAGGCTCCTCGCTTTCCCTCTACACCATGTGGTTGAAAACTTGAATGTGTCGTTGCAGCCGTCTGTCTGTGCAGGGAGTCTCCCGCCCTCCCTTTTCCTTCCTGTAGGCAGATATCGGGCCACGGCCTGTGCTTTTCCTCGGTGACCTCCACACCTCATGAACCTCTGGGTAGGTTGATTCTGCCTCCCTTTCAGGAAAACTTGCGCTGGAATTGCTGACGGAACCAATTAAATGTTTACTATAAACCATGGTGTCTTCTCATCATCTGCGAGGAGCTCTGGTAGGTGCCCCAGGCGGGGCCAGCTTCCCAGGTCCAACTGCTGATTTTCCTACCCACGTGGTCCTGTGCTTCCCGAGCTGCTTCTCAGGGAGGGCCGCCCCCGTGGCGGAAGGAACGCCTGTGTAACCAGGGATTCCGGACATCAGTGTTTCTACCTCCAGATAAGGATTCATACCAGAGTCCTGAACCGGCCCCTGCAATTCCTACCCCGGGGTAGAAAACACTTGGAGCTGTGAAACGATGCATTAGAACTGCGACTGCCTGGGCAAATCGGGCCTAAACTAGGGAACTGCTGGTGCACTTGGGGGAAAAACACGTGTAAGATGGGGGTAATGCCCTCCCTGGCTCGCTGCCCTCAATAGTGTGGGACGTTAGGGTGAATCTGACGGTTAACAACCCAGGTTATGGCGGCAAATCCACAGGGGTCCAAATCTTCACACTGCCACACTTTGAAATATTTTTAAGTTATTGATTTTAGAGAGAAACCACGATTTGTTGATGCATTCATTAGTGGATTCCTGTATGTGCCCTAACCCAGATAGAACTGGCAACCTTAGCAATCGCCAGGCGCTAACCAGTTGAGAACCCGGCCAGGGCTCTACACTCCCTGACTATTGTGTAATCTTGGGCAGAAGACCTATTCACTCAACAAATACTTGGCAGAGAGCCTGCTAGTCGCGGGCATTAAGGCGCTGGGGGAGAGTGAACGAAACACACTGAGTCTTTGCCCTCGCGGCCTCAGTTTCCTGGTTTCCCAGGGCAGCGTGCGGTGATGGCTGTGGGATCCTCCCTGGCAACCCAGTTGCCTCAGCCCCTGACGCCCAAGTCACTAAACCGCAGCCAGCACGGGGCGCCAGCCGCCATCGCAGGCTTTCAAGCTTCGCTTCCGGTTTCCTCGCCTCGCTTCCGGCCTCCGCCTTCCGCTTCCGGCCTCCGTGCCTCACTTCCGGCCTCCGTGCCGCGCTTCTGGCAGCTCACTCCTTCCTTCCGCTTCTCGATGGTGCGCGGGCTGCAGTTCCCCCGGCCGGCCGCCTG